TGTGTGTATGTGTGTGTGTGTGTGTGTGTGTGTGTGTGTGTGTGTGTGTGTGTGTGTTTGTGTGTGTGTGTGTGTGTGTGTGTGTGTGTGTGTGTGTGTGTGTGTGTGTGTGTGTGTTTAGAAGAGATGAAACTCAACACTCAAGAACACAGATGTTGATAGTGTGGGTTGAGGATGTCTCAGCTTCTACCACACCAGATGTTGACTCAATATCTGTAACATTTAATGCGTTAGAAACATTTTTGTGAAGGCTAAGGTTGACTAGCTGTGGCAGCCATCTTATATTGTCTTCACTCCAAAGGTGCGTCTTGATTACTGTCGTTAGTAATGGAAATATTAACATCTGTTCAGTGGTGTATGAGATATTTAGCTAACATACCAACAAACATGCACAGACACAAAGTCAAAGCTGCCTCTTACTTTTGGCGACGGGCGATAATTGTTCTGCGTTCATTTCAAGGTGAACCTGCTCCAGAGTTAACATTTTCTTTTGTTTGTTTCTCCCCATGCAGAGAAACACGACGTGAACGGAAACAGGACCGTTCCACCGTTTCCAGACGGCACACAGATGGTCATGTTTGGTAAGTGACAAAATACACAGCGGGAGGTCGAAACGATGTTCCGACTGATAGGAGCTAAAATGTGTCTTTCAGCTCATTCACCGCTAATAAACAAATAACTCATCGTTAACAAATACTGTGTAATGTTATTTATCAGGAGTCTTTGTGGATGACGTGCTGCGTTAAGTAGTAAATTCCACATTGTATAAAAAGTTTGACACTGTTTAAAGGATTCAGCAGATAATGTATTCTCTGAGGATATTCAGTGGGAATGCAGAGCGCTGAAAGAAATTTGTATGAAAAGAATTGTTAAATGCAAAACAAAAAAGCTAAAATCAGTACTTGAGTAGCTAAAAGCTACAATTAGGAAACCTGTTAAACTGTAGCTAAAACCTAAAAAGCTAGCTACTGGCTGAAGTAACAAGAGGATACAACATTTTTCAGTCAGGACATCTGGACAGTTTCTTTTTTTTTTTTGTGCTGAAACGTTTCGCCTTCGATCCAGAAGGCTTCATCAGTCAAGGAAATACACAACAAAACTGATTCTTCCCCCAACTGCTTACTCCAAAGTGGCACAAACCAGTTCTGCTTTGTATAAGATGGTCTCTTTGGTACACCCCTCCTCCACTGCCGGCCCTCTTCCTTGTTGACAGTCGTGTCAAACTGGTTGAAAACAACAAAGTCCATGCTCAGTAATCCAGGTATAAAATCCAACATTTTTCAGTCAGGTCATCTGGACAACAAGAAACTGTCCAGATGACCTGACTGAAAAATGTTGGATTGTATACCTGGATTATTGAGCATGGACTTTGTTGTTAACAAGAGGATAGCTACAGCTAAAAGTAGGAATAATCTAGCTAGAAGAAACTAAAGAATTAAAAGCTAAAAGTAGCAAAATCTGGTTTTAAGCTGAAAGTAGTGAAAAAAAGCAGAAGTAGAAAAAGGCTAGGTAAAAGTAGCTGAATGGTAGCTAAAAACTAGAAGGTGCAGAAACTAAAAGAAGACAGAAACCGCCAGTTTACTGCAGTGAATTTTAGAGAACAGTTTTTGAGTAAAATGAAGGGAACACAATGTTATTCCATTATATTTTGTAAATAAAGTTTAACAAAATGCAAAAAGTATAAAAGTTACAAATAATAATAGTCATAGCACACTATTTCCAATCCAAAGTATTTGTTCAATGAATGGTTAAAATGACCCCCACAACCCAAAAAGTAAGAAGTGGATAAAGATGATGGATGGATGGATGATGGATGGATGATGGATGGATGTTTGAAAGGATGGATGGATGGATGATGGATGGATTCATTATGAATGGATGATGGATGGATGAATTATGGATGGATGGATGATGGATGGCTTAATTATGAATGGATGATGAATGGATGGATGGACAATGGATGATGGATGGATGGATATGGATGAATGAATGGATGGATGGATATGGATGGATGATGGATGGTTGGATGGATGATTGATATGGATGGATGGATGAATGGATGGATGGATATGGATGATGATGGATGGATATGGATGGATGATGATGGATGGATATGGATGGATGATGGATATGGATGGATGATGGATGGTTGGATGGATAAATTATGGATGGATGATGGATGAATGATAGGTGGATGTTTGAAAGGATGGATGATGGATGGATTAATTATGAATGGATGAGGGATATGGATGGTTGGATGGATGATTGCTATGGATGGATGGATGATGGATATGGATGGATGGTTG